GACACTTTCTCTTTTTAAAATTCACACACACACACACACACACACACACACACACACACACACAAGCTCCTCTTCCCCTCACACTGCACCAAGGCCTGGGGCCACCGTGTCTCTTTCCAACCCTGCTGCCACTGCAGGCCACCTTCTGGATCTCCTGTTACCTCACCGGCCCGTCCTTGCCATCGTGACGTTGTCATGGTCACATGTTCAACCATTTGGAGTCCCCTGCTGTCTGTAGAGAAACTCGGCCTGAATTTCAAAGCCCTTGGATCTACCCTGCTGGCCTCGGCTGCATCTTCATGTCCTGGCTACTCTGAATGTGTCTTCCATGTGATTTTCTCTCTATTGAGACTGTTCTTCCCTCCAGTCCCCAATTCAAATTTGCTTCACTTGCCAGGCTGGCCAAGGGCCCGCCTCCGGTTTGTGCTCCAGTCTGTGTCTGCCTCCCTTTATCTTTAGCAGAGAACTCTTGGAAGAGACCAGGATGGGAAGTATTCCCTGGGGTCAGACCTGGCACAGAGAAAGCCCCAGGAAATGTTTAAGTGGCTAAATTCTGCTCAAGGACTGCAAGTCCAACAGTTGAAGACACTTGGAGCCCAGCGTTCTTAGAACCTAAAATTCCCAGAGGCCCAGCCCTCATGCCCTGGCTCCAAGTGGCCACCAGGAGTCACCAGCTGCCTAGTGTCTGCTGAGGCCATGCTGTCTCCTGGGATTCATGGCCAGAAAGACCAGCGCTTCCAGGAGCCACCATTACCCAGTGCTTGTGTCAGGCCCTGTGCTCTGCACTTTTCCTGCAGTATCTTTTTTAAAAATTATTATTTTTTAATCCTCACCCGAGGATATCTTTCCATTGATTTGAGAGTGGAAGAGAGAGGGAAAGACAGAGAAAATAACGATGTGTGAGAAACACATTGATTGGTTGCCTCCTGCACGTGCCCCAACCAGGGCCTGAGCTGTGGGGAGGAGCCTGCAACCCAGGTACATGCCCTTGACCGGAATCGAACCCGGGACCCTTCAGGTCACAGGCTGACACTCTATCCACTGAGCAACCGGCTAGGGCATCCTGTGGTATTTTATTTGTTCCCAACCACCTTGTGATATAGGTATTTCTTTTACAGATAAGAAAATCGAGGCTCAGAGAGGTTAAGTGATGTGAGATTACACAGCTGGCACAGCTGGATTGTGACTATTATACTTAAAAAAAAAACCCCAAACAAACCAGAGAATTTGGGCTCCAGTTAGGCAGAGCTGCATGGCATCCCCCCACCCGTGTCCCAGTGGTGTACCCCCTGCCAGGGGGTGATTCCTCCCTGCATCTTCTTTTCCATTCTGGGCCCTGGGCCTGAGCTTGGAGGGCTAGTGTCTTTTTTAAAAAAAATATATTTTATTGATTTTTTTACAGAGAGGAAGGGAGAGGGATAGAGAATCAGAAACATCGATCAGCTGCCTCCTGCACACCCCCCACTGGGGATGTGCCTGCAACTAAGGTACATGCCCTTGACTGGAATCGAACCCGGGACCTTTCAGTCCGCAGGCTGACACTCTATCCACTGAGCCAAACCGGTTAGGGCAGCTGGGCTAGTGTTTTTTGAAGTGAGGGACATGCAGGGCCACAGGAGTGAGGGAAACAGGAGGTTGTTATCAGCTATACCGTTTGGGGCAAGTCCCTCACAGGACTGCAGCGAAGACTTCTTCGATAACAGAAAAGGCGCTCAGGAAATGATCTGACTCGACTCCTGGGACAGCAACCCCTCCGCTCCCCTTAAGCCTCCTCTCCATGGGCCAAACTGACAGCACACCCTTGGGGTACAGTGGCCTCACCTGAGGGAGCACACACACCTTCACTTACGTGGAAGGAATGCTTCCTGGAGGAGCCACAGACGTTCGGGGATGAGGTGGGCCTGGAGGAAGAGCGGCTGGCAACGGCCGAGTGGGGCAAATGCTCCAAGGGGGTGCGGCTGGGGAGGCTGCACCTGGTCTCTGCAGCCCCTGCTCGTGGAGGTGGGGGCAGAGCCCTGGTGCTGGACACTGACCCAGGCTCTCAGTAGTTGGTACCCAGGTTTTCAGTACTGAGCACCGTGCAGGTAGTGCTCAGACGTTCAGGCTGCTTCCCAGTGGGGGCAGGGCCTTGCGCAGGATAAGAACTCAGGCCTGTCCCTCTTTTCTGGAAACTGGACTCAGGTTCTGCAGAGGGGCTGGCCTGGTTTCCTGGGAGACCCCGGGCAAAGCAGTGTCTTCCAGGGCATGGAGTGTCCGATCTGAGTCCTCCTGCCCCATGACTCTGGGCCTCACCACAGGTGACCCTCACCCAACAGCTCCTCCCTGGGCAGTTCTGCTGGTGTGAGTACTGCATCCTCTGCCTGCCCTGACCTGCCCACTCTCAGACCTCATGAGCCTGAGACCCGAGAGGGAGGAACCCTAGTTTGGGGCTCCAACTGCCCCCTGGTCATCTTCCTGTCTTGGGAGACCCTTGGCTCCGGTCTCCCATTCCTGAGTCTCCCCCTGGGTGACAGGGGTGAGACATCTGTGTCACCAGAACATGGCCTGGAGCAGTCAGTTTGCTGACAGGACAAACAGCAGTTGGATAGATGTTCTCTGGGGGAATCCTGGCGGCCCCAGGCACGGACCCACCTGAGACTCAGGCCACGTCAGTGCAAGGTTGTTTCCTTTCTCTGGATGCACATCCACTAGTCAAAATTAGTATCAGCTTATCTGTACGTCATCTTATTTGGTCCTCCTGGAGCTGAGGGCGTTTGTATTACCTTTTCATTCTCACTCTATGGGTGAGGAAAGCAAGCCCAAGTTCACAGCTCAGCGGGCGGCTCAGGGACTTGAATACAGGACGTTTGGCTCATCTTCCTCGCCCCTCACAGGGGCACGTGGGTGATAAGAACGAAAAGGATGCTCAGGAGTTTAGCGCGCAGTGTGGCAGGGATGTAGGTTCCCTTCTGTTCTGTTTCAGGATCAGATTTCAGGAAAACATTCTGCAGAAGTACATTTGTTCTTTGGCCAGTGGGACCAGGAGAATGGTCCAGGAACAAGACGCTCTTTGGCAGTCACAGGGTTCTTGGCAGGTCAAGCAGTAACAGAGCAAACACAGGGAGAAACATCCTGGTTGTGTCAAGTTGTGAGACTTTGGGACAAATGATAATTCTCCCCCTTAGCTAACATTTCTGTAATGTGGCTGTATTTTTGTCATGAAAAACAACTTCATAATGAGCAACATAAAAGCAGAGTCCGAGCAGCCAGATTTTGTCAGAAGGCCACTCTGCGAGGGCTAGGCCGTCACTGGCCCCACAGGAAAGCTGCAGCGGGGCTCCTGGGGCAGCCGGTGAACAGTGGAGCCTGGGATGCGATCCCCACCTGGAAGCTGAGGGTTTGCTTTGTCTCCGGGGACAGTGCCGGGGCTTGGATTTTCCAATTGCTGGCCATCCAGGAAGTCTCTGTGTGAGCCTGTTCTCAGATACTGCAACCTTTTTGTGCGACATTCTCACTCTGCGTCAAGAAAGAAAACTTATCTAGAACACTGGGAATTGGATAAGTCCTTGGAAATCACCCGTTTTCACTCCTTTTATAGCTGGGGATGTGGCAGCGTGGAGGGAAAGGTCACCCACCGGATGGTGGCAGGCCTGAGGCCAAATCACGTCCTCTCACTGGCGTCTGTGTCTGGCTGGTGGACGTGGTGGAGGGTCAGAGAAGAAAGGGATCCAGGTGATGTGCTGTGAATCCAACTTGACTGCATTACAGTTAGTTCCTGTGATGAAGGAGGCCAAAATGTAGCTATGACATTAGGGTGGGGTAATTAGCTTAACTCTGTTCCTGAGTCACAGACTAATCCTCTGATGCCAACAGCAGTCTCAAAGGTGAGCAGCTTTTCATTAGCAGGTGAAGGCAGAAGATGGAAATGACATTTAATGTGCACAACCTTGTCTCATTTACGGTAAAGCATTCACACACACGCCTCCCCTTGGGCCTCATGGCAGCCCTGTGTTATCACGAGGCTGGAGGAGCAAGGACTCTGAAGGAGAGGATGCCGAATGTGGAAGAGGTTCACGAGGAATGTTTGTGACCACCGTGCTGCTCACTTTATGTGTCCTCCTTGGGTTCGCAGTATTACTCTCAGATGTCCGATGAGTTCCCACAGCTCTCAAAGAGGAGCCAGAATTTCACTCAGACCTTCTGACTCCAAAGTCCATGTTGTCACCTCCAATGCTTTTGGTGGGCGTGTCAATGGATGCAATCCTTTTGGAGGCCAATTTGGCAAAGTATAAAAAAATTAGGTCTGGCCGGTGGTTCAGTGGTTAGAGCGTCAGCCCACGAACTGAAGGGTCATTGGTTGAGGCAACCAATTGATGTGGCTCTCTCACATTGATGTTTCTCTCCTCTCACTCCCATTCTCTCTAAAATCAATGCTCTCTCTAAAAATCAATGGAAAAAATATCCTCCAGTGAGAATTAACAACAAAAACATCTGAAAAAATTAAAAAACACAATACCTTTTTGACTCTCAAATTACATATTTAGAAATTTCCCCAATGTTTTTACTGGAACAAATTTATAAAGAATTATGTACAAAGATGTTAATTTCAAACTTTTTTAAAAAAATATATTTTATTGATTTTTTTACAGAGAGGAAGGGAGAGGGATAGAGAGTTAGAAACATCGATGAGAGAGAAACATCGATCAGCTGCCTCCTGCACACTCCCCACTGGGGATGTGCCCGCAACCAAGGTACATGCTCTTGACCGGAATCGAACCTGGGACCCTTCAGTCCACAGGCCAACGCTCTATCCACTGAGCCAAACCGGTTAGGGCAATTTCAAACTTTTTAATAGCAAATGGATGGATACAACCTAAACACTCATCACTATAGGAATGTTTAAATTATGACCAGACAGCCCTGGGCAGTGTGGCTTAGTTGGTTTGGGGTCATCCCATGCACCAGGAGGTTGCTGGTTCAATTTGTGGTCAAG